GTCCATTCAAAATTGTCTAGCAATGACCACGCAAAGTACCCTTTCACATTGACACCATCTCTGCAAAAAAAGAGGTTGTAAATAAAATATCAGAGATATAACTAATTATATTGTTGAACGAATCTGTCGCAAAGGTGAAACTCACTTGATCGCTGCTTCAAGGTAATAAAGATGGCGAAAATGATAGTCAACTCTTTGGTTGTCGACTAGGGCTTCCTCAAGAGATAACTTGGGATCATTAAGCTCATCAAAGCCTAGAGTACAAGGGGAAAAGTTAATGTTTAGTTTTCCGTTTAACATCTAAAATCCATTCCTCGTAGTTTACCACCCTCTATCTGCCCAGAAAAACTAAAATATATATGATGTTAACTTTAGAGATGGTTACCATTCTCTGTGATGTAAATAACCGGATTATGATATTTTCTCTTGGTGTAGAGCAAAACATCTCTAATGCCCCTCGGATAAATATACACAGTCTCTGAAGCACCCTGCAAGATCGACCATCAATCATAAGGAGTACTTATATGGATATTGAAGAGGAAATTATAAGGTTTACAAAATTTGATACACACCTTTGGCCCAATGGGAATTCCATTACGCTCGGCTGGCAAAACAAAGACAGACAAGATGTCATAAACAAGATAACATATAAGAGTAATTTTATTTATTACATCGCCAATCTTTATAAGAAAAATGTGGTCAGGAACTAATTACTGAGTAAATTGATAGCTGTGGGTTTAGAATTTATACGTGAAATTGAAGTAAGGGAGTCTTTTAAGTAGCTAGCATTTCCAGCGCGTAGTTGCGGTGCATCAGATACATAGTTAGATGTATAATAGTTCAATCCGATAAAATCAAATGATCCCTTCAGCAATTTGGATTGCTCCTTGTTGAACTTAGGTAATCGGATTCCAACAAGAGATCGCATGCTGTACGGGTAGTCACCATTTGTCAATGGGTCCATAAACCATCCAAGCAGGAAATCTAAGGATCTAAGTGCAGCATCTTTGTCTTTCTTTGTCTC